GAAATAGTATTCATCCTTAAAAAGTAAGGAAATCCTGACTCATGTTACGACATGGAAGAACCTTGAGGACATGGTGCTAAGTGAAGTCAGTCAGTCGCAAAGCAGATAAATAATGTCTGTTTCACCTACATGACACATCTAGAATAGTCGAACTCTAGATGAAGTGGGACACGGCGCTTACCAGAGGCTGGAGGAAACAGGATTGGGAGTTGCTGTTTAATGGGAATGGAGTTTCAGTTTTGCAAGATGAGAACATTGTGGTTGCACAACAATGTGAATATGCTTAACACTCCTGAACTGCACATTTCAAAACGGGTAAGAATAATAAACTGTTATTTTATATGTATTTTACCAGAATTAAAAAATTAAATATCAATGAATAACTCTAAAAATGATGAAGGACTAAAATTGAAAAATATACTTAGAAATAGTCTGAATAATATTTTTAAAAATTCATTGAGATTCTTAATTTGTAATGGTGTATTACTGGTCTGGCAAAATTTTATAGATGTACCATCCAAAACTGAGTAAACAACCCCAAAGATCTCCAAATAATAATTGTGAGTTCCCAGTTGGGGTTCCCTTCTTTTTGTGAAAATTGGCAGCGGCCAAAGTACCAAAACACCTTCTGAAAAGAGGGTTGACATGTTTAGTTTTCTTCCTGGCATCAGTGAACTTCTAGTAGCTTAATCTCCTAGAGTACTTGTGGAAATGATAAATTCTATAATGTGCCCATCTATTTTTTTTTTAAGAATGTGAAATAAGGGGCTCATAAGACCCCAATACTTACTGCACTTGAATGGGAAAAGTGGCTAAATCATTCGGCCGAAACTACTTTTCTGTCATGACAAACCCCTTTCCTGAGAACTGTGTTCCATGCATATCATAGCAGTTCTGTCTTTCTCGTTCATTACCAGCTCTTGGCCATCAAACCCAGGATTTGGGAAAGGAACTACTTGCTTACCATGTGGTTCTAAGGACTTGGTTTTCGTAGGAGCTAAAACCTACGAAATAGTCTAATCTTTCGTAGTAGACCATGAAAGATTAAGCTTTTATGTCATCTCTATCTATCAGTTATATTTGATGGTCTTCGGAAACAGACTTTTGTTCAAAGAACAAACTGAGGGCCAGGACGGGAGCTTACTGCAGTACCGACTTGTCAAAAGCATACTCACTGAGCCCTGTTCCCAGAGTTCTATCAAAGGAAATCTGGTTGCAAAGGTAGTTGATCAACCAAAACCCTTCCAATAGAATTTACTTATACTAATTTTCTGTTTTCTTTGTAATTGTTTTTAGTAACATTGAATATATTTACTCCTAAAACCTTTTGTTTTCCTGTTGTTCATTTTCCTTTTCCTCCTCATTCTTCTGGCATATTCTTTTTTTTTAAAAATAATATTTTTTGAGAGAGTGGAAGGGAGGGGGAGAGACACACAGAGAGAAACATTGATGTGAGAAAGACACATCCATTGGTTGCCTCTTGCATGTGCCCACACCAGAGCTGGGATGGAGCCTGCAACTGAATATGTGCACTTGACCGGAGTTGAACGTGAGACCCTTCAGCCCATGGGCCGACAATCTATCCACTGAACTAAACTGGCTAGGGCTCTTCTGGCATATTCTTTATTTCTTATTCCACAATCTGGAAACTGCTAGTGACGAGTTCAGTGTTGTTCTATTTTGGTGACTAGCAACACTGATCTTTCATGGGAGTGATTTTTGTGACAATAGCAATGTAGCCTGTACTTGTTCACAGCCCTCAGCCGACCTACTTCTGTATCTCAGTTATTACTGTGTTTAGGAGAATGAGTAGAGAGCTAGGCTTTCTCTAGGAGTCTGCATTGTTGCCATGTTCTCTCTGAAAACCCCCAGATCCAGGGGCATTTCCCCACTGGGCTGGTTAGCATTCCAGGTCAGCTAGTTACTGAAGTGATGGGGGGCGGGGTGGGGGGCGGTAGGAGGAGAGAAGGGAAAGGCAGGAGTTTATAGAGTTATGTCAAAACTTGCTTTTAGGCAATTATGTACTCTAATTACACTTTGTGATCTTGTACTTAGGAGTGAGCTACTTAAATGATAAACTGTACTAAAAGAAAAAAAGTTTGGTGACAATTTAGCGAAGTGGATTTTTCATTCTCCTGAGAAGAACAGTGATGGCACAGTATTTACTGTTGGTTTCCTTCTCTTTTGCCTTCTAAGTGAATGGCGATGGCTACGCTTGAGTGAAAAGGGGAGAAGTGCTGAACTCCAACTTGTTCTTTTAAATGGGTAACAATGGTTTGTTTCCTAAAAAACTGTTCATTCTCAAGTTAACGTAGAGAAGGCTCACAACAACTGGGCATATTAGGAGAAATATTTTCAACCAAAAAAATTTTGTAACCGATAAAACTATAGGCCTAAACTGGGTGAGACGAAATGTTCTTTTCCCTCTTTGAATGAGTGTAGGTTTGTTTGTCAAAAATACCAGAGGGAATATCCTAAGACATAAAGATATTTGGATTAAGCCCAGCCAGTATAGCTCAGTGGCTGAGCTTAGACTTATGAATCAGAAGGTCATGGTTCAATTCCCCGTCAGGGCAAATGCCTGGGCTGAGGGCTCTATCCTCAGTAAAGGGTGTGCAGGAGGCAGCCAATCAATGATTCTCTCTCATAATTGATGTTTATGTCTCTCTCTCCCTCTCTGAAATCAATAAAAATATATTTTAAAATGATATTTGGATTAAGATACATTAATCTTATCATGTAGAAGTCTTCAGGAACAGAAACAGCATTTATTAAGTACCACTGTGGCAGGCACTGGCAAGGTGCTTAACTTAAATGATTCCCATTTTTATTTTTTAAAAATATATTTTTATTGATATCAGAGAGGAAGGAAGTGGGAGATAGAAACATCCATGATGACAAAGAATCATGGATTGGCTGCCTCCTGCAAGTCCCCCACTGGGGATTGAGCCCACAACCCAGTCATGTGCCCCTGACCAGAATCGAACCTGGGACCCTTCAGTCCGCAGGCTGACGCTCTATCCACTGAGCCAAACCAGCCAGGGCATGATTCCCATTTTTAAAATTAACTATACATATTGAGGTAACATTGGTTAATAACATTATATAAATTCAGGAAAACAACATTATAATTTGATATCTGTATACTCTATTGCATGTTCAGAGGCAAAAGTTCAGTTTCCACCTGTCACCATATATTTGAACCCCTTTAGTTAATGCGCCCCATGATGAACACACAAGAAGCTGGGTGAGAATCCTGGCAAAAGGCAAGTTGGAGAGTCGTTAACAAGCTCTGGCTCTGGATTCTGTCTGGGTTTGACCCTGGCTAAGCTACTCCACAGCTTGGACTCTATTTCCTTGACTGGAAAATAGGAATGATAATAGAACTTCATATGATTTCTAGGAAGATTAAAAAGTGTAAAGTATTTAGGATAATACATAGGAAGGGCTAAATGAATGTTAACTGTTATGATTACTACACATTATGCTAATGCACTATTGCTAAGGCTATGAATACCAGGCAAAGAATAAAGGAGAATGAGATCATTTCTAAGGCACAACATAGGAACTTTATTAGTTATTAAATTACAAGTCTTTTTAAGAGAGGTTACTCTTCAAAATGTTTATTCATAATGTCATAAAGGAGATAAAATATATATGACCTCATTTCAAAGATTAGGAAACTGGGGCTCATTAAGTTTTTGTACCTCATTTATTGTCAAAGCTAAGGAGGAGGTAATACTGGAATACAGTCCTGGACTCTCTCACTCCAAAATGGTTCATCACACCATACTGCCTCCCGTAGCAGTGCTGTCCAAATGCTGCGTGTCCATCAGATACTTTTTGAATTAGTAAAATCAAGCCTTATTATCAATAACTTTAAAGTAATATCAGAGCTGTCCAGACTATTTTTTCTGGTTATTTTATTTTTATTGATTTCAGAGAGGAAGGGAGGTGGAGAGATAGAAACATCAATTATGCGAGAGAATCATTGATCGGCTGCCTCGTGCATGCCCCAAACTGGGGATTGAGCCCCCAACTTGGGCATGTGCCCTGACCAGGAATTGAACCATGACATCCTGGTTCATAGGTTGATGCTCAACGACTGAGCTATGCTTGCTGAAAAAACTATTTTAAATGAAGAAATTGTTGTGAACCATAAATCTTTTCTAGCAAAAGGGAAGGATTAAGAAACAATTCAGAAGATGCATCTATTTCTTTTTTTTCCACACTCCCAACTCTTTTTTCCCCCATTGGCTATTGCTTTAATAAAAGTGAGTAGGCAGCTAGTGGTAATCTAGGTTTTTTAAAAATTCCATTTCCTTTTCTTTTTTTTAAATAAAAAGAAACAGAAAGAAAATAAATTCCTATTATGAACACTGACCATCCCCACTTTTATTGTTAACATTTTTGAAAGAAAATGTTTTCATCTTGTATTTCTCTATTAAGTTGCCCCATCTGGTTAACTAATAACTTATTAAAACATTACTCCTCTCTTCATCAAAGTTCCTCCAGAATAAGATGCTGCTCCATTTAAATAAAAGATGAAGGTTGTCGACACAGAAGCAGCCTCTAACCAACAGACCCAGAAATAAGATAGTAGCTGGTGCTATGCAAGCCCGACACTGGCACTTGTACTGGAATTGGCCAGAGGTTCTTAACCTGGAGGCCAAAAGTTGGGGGGTAGCATGGGGAACATGTATGAACTCCTTGGAGTATTTGCAAATTTTGCATGAAGTTTTCTGCATATACTTCAAAGGAACCTGTGTAATGCCTGTTAACTAAGAGCCAATGTTTCAAGGTCTCACTACTAAAACTAGTTGCCACACTTTACCCCTTTGTGTCAGCTTAAATGCCATTATAACGTTGAGTATATAATATGTCTTTGTTAGCTACTTAAGTGGGAACCAGAAACTTCGTCTTGTTAAAGATGTTGTTTTATAATCAAAAGGATCAGGTTTCTAAAAGCGAGACTCCATGGTATGATTAGAAGAATTTACCTGCCTAGGAGGGTCCAGGCTTGGGTTCTTGTTCTTGCTCCTCCACGGAATAATTCTGGGTTACTTCTCCTCTCTGGACTGTTGTTTCTTCATCTGTTAAAATAAACATTTGAATAAACCCAAAGATGTCTTCAAATTTTAAAACATTTGTGTTCCTTGTAAAAGATTATTAAACCTCTTAGATGGGTGTTCTCCCACAAAATTTTAGAATGTATTATAAAAATAAGGGATGACAACCTAGTCTTATTTTAAAAATTACTTTTAGAAAAGGTTACAGTTTGAGGACATGCACCTGGCTAGTGACTTCCCAATGTACTCTAAGGACTGTAAGGTGTCACATTACCATCTAGGGCAGTAATGGCGAACCTATGACACACGTGTCAGAAGTGACACGTGAACTCATCTTTTGGTTGATTTTTCTTTGTTAAATGGCATTTAAATATATAAAATAAATATCAAAAATGTAAGTCTTTTACTATGGTTGCAAATATCAAAAATATTCTATATGTGACACAGCACACGAGTTAAGTTAGGGTTTTTCAAAATGCTGACATGCCGAGATCAAAAGGTTCGCCATCACTGAGCTAGGGCAAGGTTGAGGGGATGTCCCAGGTGGGACAGAGAGATGAGGCTAAGTGTCCCCCACCTTGCTTCTATCAAAGCAGCTTGCTTTTAGTCTGTTTTACCTACTGGGTTTCTGGAAAAGGTTTCTTGATTTTAATTAGTCTCTGTTGATACCCTTGGGTGGGGAGGAAGGAAACAGATTGCATATTTATTTAATCACTGTATTTAAAAATCTGTCTTTGAAAAAAACACTGGAAACAGAAACCCTAAAGCTTGTTTCTTTTTCTTTTTTTCTTTTAGTCTCACCTGAGGACATGTTTAGAGAAAGGAATGGAGAGAGAGAGAGAGAGAGAGAGAGAGAGAGAGAGAGAGAGAGAGAGAGAGAGAGAGAGAGAGAGAGAGAGAGAGAGAGAGAGAGAGAGAGAGAGAGAGAGAGAGAGAGAGAGAGAGAGAGAGAGAGAGAGAGAGAAAGAGAGTGAGAGAGAGAGAAACACATGAACATCAATCCCTTGCCTTCCATATATGCCCCGGCCGGGGATTGAACCCAAAACCCAGGTCTGTGCACAGGACGATGCTCAACCAATTGAGCCACTCCAGCCAGACAAGGCTTGTTTCTTATTTGTTGTTTATTAGCTGTATCACATCAGGCAATTCAGGTAGTCTTTTCTGAATCTCTGTCCTCACATATAGAATGATGACAGCATCTTATTCAAAGGAGCGTTGTTAAGAATTAAATGAAATAATTTTAAGAATTGTTTTATAAAGATGGTGAGTGGGTCTTTAGTGGTGAGCCCCAGGGCTATGTATTTTGTTCTGACCATTGTAGCATTAGTGTCCACCTGAATTAAGTCATAGGAAGTATGGATGGTCAGATTTGCAGATGAACCCAAGTTATGGGGTGGAATTAAAAGACTGAGCAGATAAGAGAATGACTGAGGGTAAAACTTTGGGGGAAATATAAAGTCTTGTTCTTTAGTTCACAAAGTCAATTGCCCAAGGGTAATATGGGGGGAAAATGTGGCCTGTGAGCCAGTTTAAGTAAAAAAGACTAAGAAATTTTACTTGACTTCAAGCTCATTATGAGCCAATAGTGTTGTGATATGGTTGGCAAATAAATAAGTGATCCAATTGTCTTAGTCCATCTGGGGTTGTTACAGCAAAATTCTACAGATTAGGTAGCTTATAAACAACAGAAATGTTTCACATTTCTGGAGACTAGATCAAGTTGCTGGCCTGGTTGCATTCTGGTGAAGGCCTCTTCCTGGTTCATAGCCAGCACCTTCTTGCTGCGTCCTCACATGGTGGATGGGGTAAGGGATGTCTCTGGAGCCCCTCTCTCTTTTTTTAAAGGTATTTTTTATTGATTTCAGAGAGAGGAAGGGAGAGAGAGAGAAACATCCACTGCTGCCTCCTGCATGCCCCTTACTGAAGATTGAACCTACAACCCAGTCATGTGCCCTCACTGGGAATCAAATCGGTGACCTCTTGGTGCATGGGAAGACTCTTAACCATCTACGTCACACCCACTGGGCTTTGGAGCGTCTTTTATAAGAACACTAATCCTATTTATGAAGGCTCCCTCCTCATGACCTAAGCACTTCCCATCACCTTTGGGAGTTAGAATTCAACATGAATTTTAGGGGTACATATTCAGACCGTAGTACCAATATTCTTATGTATGTGTTTATAGAAGTACTGTGCCATGGCTGAGAAAAGGGGGCTACCGCTCTTGGCTTTGCTGAGCATCCTTCTTCCAGCTGTTAAAAACCATCACTTCAGACACCCTAGGAAGCTAGATGGAGAGTGTCTGGAAGATTTCCAACAGGAAATGTTGAGAAAAGGTTAGGGGGAAGAGCATGTCATGGAGGTCTTAACAGATCTAAGACATTTTAAGTGGTATTATAGCTGTCATGGAAGGGAGGCTTGGAATAGTTTTATTGTTTTCAGAGATGATTCTTGAGAAAACCTTTAATCAATATGAGCTACCTCAAGGGGAAGAGGTTGCTTGGTTGAAGTAGTGAGAATTCCATTAGGGAAACTGTTTATACAGATAATGGACAACGTCTTCTGAGGGTTGCTTTTATCACAATTATTATTGTGTTCCTCTTATTTTTCTAATATCAATCAAGCATAAATGAATCAGGAAGCTTTAATAGAAAAAATGATAAAAGATTTATTCAAGGGCCTTAGAGTTTGCTAACTGGAAACACAGCTAGTTAAAACCTAGAACTGTTCTGAAGAAAAAGAAAAGTTAAGAGTTCTTATTATAAAAGTCACATCTTTGAGAATAATCAGTCTTGCATTATTGGCCCGGTATTGATCCAGGACAGTTATCAGCCAAATGCCATGTGTCCGGTTGTGTGTCACTCTGTATCAGGGGTCCTCAAACTACGGCCTGCGGGCCACATGCGGCCCGCCAAAAACATTTACCTGGCCCGCTGGGTGTTTTTGCCGCCGCTGTGTGCATAGGAATTTGTTCATAGTTGTTTTTTTTAAAACTATAGTCCAGCCCTCCAACGGCCTGAGGGACAGTGAACTGGCCCCCTGTTTAAAAAGTTTGAGGACCCCTGCTCTGTATGATAGATGCCAGGTGGTCTGGTCAACTCAACATTTTTCCCCCCTAAATCCTTAAGGGCTGTTAGAAGGTTATCTTATAGGATTTATACATGTATATTCCAGGCACAACTGGAAGGTTCAAAGGTTTAAGTTCCCGGATAGGGAAAACAAGAATAGAATCATTTTTCAAGGCTCAGCCTACTTGATTTTAACAATTCAGCAGCTTGACCATAGAGACTTCATTTTATTTCTTCACTCTGTTTCTCACTACCTGCATTTTATTTCCTCTCCTCTAAGAGATTCCTTTCAGGTGACTCTATTGAACCTTCAGAGAGTTTGATGTAAGAGGGTAATATGGTGACTCCCTTTGGTCTGGAAGAAAGAATTCATCCCAAAGGTCATGGGGTACCATATCACCTGTTCATGTTCACATCAGTGTTTGTTTCCTGCTAAATGGAGGAAACCAGTAGAATAACATTTTGTCCTATATTATAAACTGATTTTCCTGCCCATCAAACTAGAACTAGGCCGACACGATTTAATTTTTCCTTTGTTTAAAGTTTTAAGCAATGAAACATCTTATTAAAAACTAGAGATCTGGTGCATGAAATTCGTGCACTGGGGGTGCGGGGGTCCCTCAGCCCAGCCTGTGCCTACTCACAATCTGGGACCCCTCATTCCTTACTGCCCACCTGCTCGCTGCTCCTTAGTGATGCTGCAGAGGTGGGAGAGGATCCCACCACTGCTGCTGCGCTTGCCAGCTGTGAGCCAGCTTCTGATTGAGCGATGCTCCCCTTGTGGGAGCACACTGACCATCAGCGTCTGCCCCCTGGTGGTCAGTGTGCATCATAGCAACTGGTTGTTCCGCTGTTTGGTTGATTTGCATATTAGGCTTTTATTATATAGGATGTAAGGACCAAGCTGTCCCTGTGGAGTAGATAAAATATCCATGGCCTCAAGGAATAAAAAGAGTTAGTAAGTAAAGTATTAGGGTCAGTTACATATTCTTTCTATGCCTATTTTTTTCTATCAGTGAGATGACAATAAGCTGATTTACTTAAAAATTACTTTATAATGGATGACTAAAAGATACAAAAAAATGATACTTCCCTCATGGTTGGGGAAGAGGCCAAATGAATTTCCTCTGATAGAAGTAGAAGGAAGCATTTATAAGATAATACGTAACTGCATATGAGGAAGCAGTATGATAACTCTACTCAAGGTCTTACACAAAAAGAGAGATTTTCAAAAGAAACAAAGATAATATAACACTTGTAGGTTTAGATAAGATTCTACTTCAAATGAACTCCCCCCCCCCCCCTTTTCTTCCTTTCTTCTGCATCAGTGAACTTTCCCTGATGCTTATTGGGCATGACATTCTATGAGGCATACCAAGTGTGTTCCAGAGCAGAGATGAACTGGTACTCTGATATTTGTGGAGGGTGTGGTGAGAGCTGGAGAGCCATTGTATTGCCTGAGAAATGTTGCTCTAGACATGCCCCTTGAACTTTTTAAAATTTTATTGCTCAATATCCTACTTATAGTCATTTCCAAATTTTCTTTTTAATCTTTTCCGAGATCTTGAACTCAAAGTGATAACTTTAGCTTCCTCATTGACATCCTTTGATCTTATAATAGAGCTGAAACGGCAGGGATGCAATATGTGAATAGCAAACTGCCACCCAGGAGACTGTCATTCCACATTGGTAATAATAGCAGATATTTGTTGAGTAACTCTCAGAGCTTTGCTAACCACTTCATATGTATTACCTGATGCAGTTCCCTTAACAACACTGTAATGAAGGCACTATTTCTATACTCGTTTTATACATGAGGAAACTGAGGCATTGAGAAATTGAAAAACTGACCCAAAGTCTCACAGCTAATGTAGAGCACACGCTCTTAACTACTCTGTCAGACTGCCTCTCTATGCAAAGAGCTCTGATCATAACCTGGCAAATCACCCATCCATC